CAAAATAAAATGACACTTCACAACTTACACCTTGCCTCAATAGAAACCACGACCCTTGCAACTCAACACCAAGATATTTCAAGGATAGCAAATTTCAAGTAAGGAATTTCCACATTTAAATAATGAATACGGAATTAAAAAAGTAAGTAATTCAACTAAACATGTAGTACAAGTTGCAAATAGGAGATAAGACAAGTAGACATGTGAAATTAGGCTAAACATGGTGACTATAACATGCTAAAGTGATTCAATTAAGGCATGAAAAAATGAAACTACGTAGCTAAAAGTGGAATCTCAATATTTAGCCCGTGTACGCACTCGCCATGTTGAGTACACGGCCTTCACATATCAAAAATTATCACAACAGTACCAAATCCAAAGGGGAATTTCTCCTACACAAGGTTAGACAAGTCACTTACCTCAAACCACGCTAAATCAATCAACTAGAAGACCTTTCTCTCGATTTTCCGACTCCGAACGACTCGAATCGAGCCAAAATAATTACATACTATAAATATAACTATAGGAAACTAATTTAAATAATGAAATCATGATCTCAGCAAAGAATTGGAATACCGCCCCAAATCATGATTTGATTGCTTTGGTAAGGTGGAGCTAATATAAATGATCTTATTGCAGGCGTGTTCACCTTCTGAAATTCTTCATAACGATAACTGAAAGCAGTGATCTCTACAGTAGCATGAATTGATAATAGCGAAAAAATACATTAAGAAACAACCGTAATCAGTTCAACTTCATTATAAGAAAGTGAAAGTAGCAGTTGGGTGATTTTAGGATACAAGCTAACCTGTCAGGCAAACAAATGTGAAGTCTAGTGGGTAGAAAAAGAGAATCACGTATTTCTTCCCAATGTACTCAGAAAGTTTAATTAAGGATAAAGTTAGCGAATTCTTATTTCACACGAAAAGTTTACAATACAATCACGAACAGATAGTGAGAAACCTTTTGTTCCAATAATAATATGCAATCAAACCCAATTCCAAAAAATAATCTGCTCTACAAGACGAAGACACATAATTGACCTATAACGAGGCAATATTCAATGAAAATAAAGAACCAACTTCTGCGAATTCATCAGCAATGTCATAAAACCTACATGTAATTATAAGTTTGGAGCATATGCAATTATAAGATGCAACCCAGTATTTGAAAAACATAGAGAGAGACGATAACATAAAAAAATGCCCAATTTCAAACCACAAAAATAATTAATTCTTATAAAGCACCCTTCAATAACTCCGTAGAGATGCTTTAGAATCAGCTCTAATGAATTTATGGAACAAGGATTAAAGAAATTTCCAATGATTTCCTGTAAATCCTCTCATGAATAAGGCTCTAACGGGCTGATTTAGACATTCCTTCAACAACTAAAATACAAATTTGGCAGCACACTATACTTGGTATAAACACAAACATAATTTTAAGAGATTCTTTCAACAACTTCAATCCAAATTTGGACAGCATGTTATACTCCGTATGAAAAAATAAGATAATTTTCAGTCATTCCTTCAAAAACTTATACGCAAATTTGGACAAAATAATTGACTGCAAGTTTAGAGCTTACCTTGACGAGAAGGAGATTGAAACCCTAGGTTGCAGAGAAGAACCCAAATCGTGATTCTTTCAAGAGTTCAATTTCTGAGATACTAGGTCTCTGCTCTTTAAGTAACAATATAAAGATATACCCTTTTTTTGGGGTGGGGGTAGGGGTGGGGGTGGGGGAAGAGAGTTGAGGGCGTGCGTGGGTTGAATGTGTGTTGCAAAAAAAGAGGGAAAAAATTAGCGGCCAATATTTCATATTTAACGTCCGAATTTTATGATTTTTAAAGACCAAAAATTATCCTTTCGTTCATATTACACTAAAAATTGATTTTGACGATCGGAAAAAATATTGGTCGTCATAAATACACTTATAATGACCGGATTCAATTCCCTTCATTAGAATTTGGTCGCTAAAAGTCAATATTCTTGTAGTGCAAAATCGTAGAAATAAGGTGAAAGAAAATTCGAAAATGCCATGCTTGTTAGAGAAAACATGACTAAAACATGAAGAAAAAGGAAGCTATTCGTAGCCATTTCTATTGCTATAGTTTATGAAGTTACTAGTACACTTCTATGTGACAAAGAGAGTAAAATGTGACTGTATTTATAGGTAGGAGAAATGTTGACTATGGCAATACGACAATTGTTCTAGGTTTAGCTAGAGGTGGATCCAAGATTTGAGGCTTATGGATTCCTATCGTAATTTTAAATTAATATGCAATAATATTTGGGTTCACAGTTAGATATCGGCAAAGGGCCAAATATACCCCTCTACTTTTGAAAATGGTCTAAAAATACCCCTCGTTATACTATTGGGTTATCTATACCCCTACAATCATAGTTTGGGTTCAAATATACCCCTCATTTAAACGGAGGGACACATGTCATCGTCATGTTGGTCAATTCTAAATATCCCCTAATTAATTAAAAAGACACATTACCCATATCCGAATTTTTTTTTTTTTTTTTGTAAAAACTGAAAAAAATTAAAAATATTTTTTTACTAAAAACTGAAAAAAACGAAAATAATGTTTTAAAAAAAATTGCTTTATAAAAAACTGAAAAATATTTTCTAAAACAATGTTTTTGTAAAAACTAGAAAGAAAAAGCTGAAAATCAATTTTCTTAAGCAATTATTTTTGTAAAACCTGGAAAAAACTAAAATTGTTTTTTACTAAAAACTGAAAAAAATGAAAATATTTTTTTTTTCCAGTTTTTACAAAAAAAATTGCTTTAATAAAAGCTGAAAAATATTTTTGTAAAAACTGAAAACAAAAACTAAAAAAAAAAATTTTAAAGCAATGTTTTTGTAAAAATTGAAAAAACAAATATTTTCTTTTTTTTTCATTTTTAGTTAAAAATATTTCAGTTTTTTTTCAGTTTTTAATTGCATTAGAAAATTACTTTTCAGTTTTGTTTTTCAGTTTTTACAAAAATATTATTTTAGAAAATATTTTTCAGTTTTTTTAAAGCAGTTTTTTTGTAAAAACTGAAAAAAAAAAATATTTTCGTTTTTTCACTTTTAGTAAAAAAATGTTTTTAGTTTTTTCCTGTTTTTACAAAAAAATATTATTTTTCGGGTATGGGTAATGAGTCTTTTTAATTAATTAGGAGATATTTAGAATTGACCAACAGGACGATGACACGTGTCCCTCCGTTTAAATGAGGGGTATATTTGAACCCAAAATATGACTGCAGGGGTATAGATAACCCAATAGTATAACGATGGGTATTCTTAAATCATTTTCGAAAGTAGAGGGGTATATTTGGCCCTTTGCCGGTTAGATATTTACAAATATTTAGTAAATTTCTTAATATAAATACAGGGTCTATGCAAAAATTACTGAGTTCCCGAGAACCTGTAGTCAATCCTCTAGGTCCGCCCCGGGTTTAGCAACTCTCACTATAATAAGCATAGGACATTGACTATCTCTAACAATTCAGTCTTCCTCAGAATCAATCCATGCTCGAAATTTTGGTAATTCACAAAATATTGCTACCTCCTCTTTGTAGCACTATTTATTATTTGGAGAGTCAAATGAGTTTTCGTTGATCGTAATTTTTTCATGTCTTTTAAATATTTTGAATTGTTAGATATTGCGACTATAGTAGTTTTTATATAGCTTTTAAATATATGAATTTTATTTCAAAAACTTGAAAATCTATGTCTGAATTTGCACCGAAATTAGATATTTTGATCCTTGTATTGTAATGATGTCACATAAAGTGGGGATAACGGGGATACTATTTAGTTTTCGTCTTGAGTGTGTGTGTATTAGTTGGGACTTTGTTATCAACATAGGTAGTTATCGGGATTATTTTAGAAGAAAAAACAAAAATTACCCCTCTCCTGACTTTTATTTTAAGAGCTTTATTACTTGTTGATACTGTAATTATGGAACTAATGATTAAGATAGAGCCGATAAAGAATTAAAAATCGTAAAATAATATAACCTTTTTTTCCAACGATATTACAAAAAGGTTTACTTTACAAGAGTGGTTTCATTCGTATGATATTCTATGAGGGAGGGGGTAATCATGGATAATATTAATGTAACTAACAACTTCAAATTGACAACCCAAAAAAATGACTAATAATTGGTAAAAATAAATACAGAAAAAGAACAAATAAACGTGGACTATATATAGAGAGAAAACACGTATCCTCTGAGCAGGGGCGGTTCAAGGGCATTTGAGGTCTAAGGCCAAAGTCAAATGTGAGGCCTAAGTATTTAATTTTTTTAAAAAAACTTAAATGATATGTGTGGAGTAAAATTAATAAAATATCAAATACCAAATATAAACAATACTAGAAAGATATTACCCGATTGCTAATTCAGAAAGTTTGAAAAATGAAGACTTTGAGTCCAAAATATCTAGTTGTTGCTTGTCTACTTCAAAATGACTACATATTATTTTTTTAAATACTTATAAAATATATATTATTTCTGAAAAATGGGGCCCCTCAAAATTGGGGGCCTAAGGCACATGCCTTACCCATCGTACTGTTATAGCCGGCCTTGCCTCTGAGTATTTATACTAAAATGTCAACGCTAAAAACATGCAAAAAAAAAAAAAAAAAATTTAAGGAGGTTAACGATTGGTTAAGATGATGGTGAAGGTCTTAATATATTAGTTCCTCAAGTAATACCGACCACTTAGCTCCTAGTCAAATGTTGTTGGCCGCACCCTAAAAGTGTGATGTAGATCAGAGGCGGATTTAGGATTTTTAGAATGTGCATGCACCACTAAATTAATGAAAGGAGAAAATAAAGTATTAAGTGATAATTGATATATGCTTTTTGGGGTAAATAACTCAGTATTCAACCAAGTGTATCATTCAACCCTTGTGGAGCATGAGTACCAACTGTAACGACCCTGACCGTTTTAATTATTTTAGCCCCCATCCCCTATTTATTACTTCCTCTATGTTAAGAATGGAAATGGTTGGCAAGATTGCATGCTTGGTGGTTTTGTGCATGGTGATGACTGCACCCTATGGAGAGGCGGCATTTACCTGCGGTTCGGTTCAGGCTGCCATGCTTAATTGCCTGCCTTATCTGCAAAATCGTGGCCCTCTCGGAAACTGCTGTAACGTCATTAAAGGTTTAGTGAGTGCAGCGAAGACCCAAGAGGACCGTAGGATTGCATGCAGTTGTATAAAAACAGCTGCTACTATTCTCAAAGGTGTTGATTTTGGCAAAGCTGCTGGTCTTGGTGGTGCTTGTGGCTTCAACACTCCCTTCAAGTTGAGCCTCTCCACTGACTGTTCCAAGTATGTTATTATAATTCACCCTAATTCTACCATAATATAATAAATTTTGGGTTGCAGATATATATATGACAAAATAAGTAATATGTTTTTTAAATATTTTGAATTTTGGTCCGGGGAAGAGCTGGACTACATGGGTTTACTGTACGCAACTGTTTCCATGACTCGAACCCGTGACCTCCTGGTTCCCATTGAGTTTCTAAATATGTAAATTTTTTTTTAAGAAAATTAAAAGTTCTATGTTCAAATTCACTCTGAAAATTAACTAGTTTGACCCTCGGATAAAGTTCATATCTCAATGCTTGCTATATAGTTTTCCTGATACATTGAATAATGCTGATAAAAGAGAAGATTATTGTACATTTATAGCCAGTAAATTTCTTGGCTAATGTTGATTTAATCTAATGTGGCGATGCAGGGTCCAGTAAGTTTCTTGGTTGATGGTGGTAGCGCAATCATGTGGAGAAGAATAAGATGCATGGATCGATTTTGATCATGTGCTTAATTATGGGTCGTGTCTGTTGTCTCTTTCTTTCTATTTTCGAGTCTTGTAATAAAACTTTGGCGGTTGGTTGTATTATGGTTGAATGGTTGTATTACGATTCCATTCAATCTTGATATATAATTACATATTCTACTAGTATCTTATTTTGTTCTGTCTCTCTTTCGAGATTTCCTTTTCTCTGTTTTTCTTTTTCACTTACGTATGGATAAGAAATAGATGGCCCACCTGACATTTTCTTTAGAGATATTCTTACACAGAAAATCACTATATGTAAAGTAGAACAGAATCTAATGACGAGTAAAAAACGATACAATATGCTATATAACAAATGTAAAGAAAAGATCAATCCATAAAACTAGAGAACACCCATTACCTGAAAGAGATTCTTGAGCTAACGAATGATGATTCAGTTTGAAAATAGAATTTTTTATAAATGAATAGTTTGAGAATGACAACATTAGATTTGTGTTATTGATTTAATTAATTAATAAGATTCGTTGAGAATGTTTACTAATGTCTCCTAAAACAACATTATTTTTTTTTTTTTTTTTTAAAATTAAAGTCGTCTTGTAATAACGGGGTTTGGCATCGACCCCTACAGATTAATAACAAAAGTTGAAGACATGAAGGAGTGGGAGATAAAACTTAACCTCCTCATAATATGGATAAGAGTTGGACATGCCCAACTCTTTACGATAAGCTTGCAAAAAATCGATGCTATGAAATATAAAACAAGATAGAGAGTATACAATAAACAGGAAAAAAGCTCTCTACATAATGCATGTTAATGCTATACCTAGGACAAAAATTAAAAGCATGGTTAGTCATTAGCATCATATACGAAAGTAGTCTTGGAGGATCTTATTCTGAAGCTTGCTAATTAATCCTTATCCATAAATTAAAGCATAGACCTTTAGCTTGACTTGGGAGTTCATGAGCAGAGAAATAGCATTTAGTACTGGTTCTTTCTAATTCTTCTTTAGCCGGTGCATCTGCGACCCTATTAGCTTCTTTATAGCAATGTGTGACGTGGAACGCCTCAAAGTTTATCATGATTTTCTAAATTTCCTCTATGTTGCGTCTTAAATTCCAAGGAGGTTTTATCTTTCCATTAACCCAAGCAGGTTGGTTTTTTTTTTATATAAAGCTCCCAGTATATCTGGGCTTTCATTGCTAATAGGAGATTACACACGAGGAGGATGTGGCCTTGCCTCAGTAACAAAATAAGTTTTGTGCAGTATTACATGAATTTACTGACACAGTTGCAAATAAGGAAGTAAAGCACACTTAACTAACATAAAAATTTGCCTTATCATATCTTATTCTCATACTAGGTAGTTGCCATTTATCTAAGTGGTATGCTCCTTTAGCATCTCTCGGAAGATCTTGAAATGCAAAAAGAATCCTGCCCTCCTGTATAGTATTTGCATGTTTTGCTAGGCCATCTGCCACTTGATTGGCTTCTCTCCAGCAGTGTCTAACTTCTACATTTGCTTGACATAACATCTGCTTAGTTTGTTGAATGATAGCTTTACGTTTACAGTTCTCCACGGTGTCTTTGATAAGCATATTGGCAATTATTAGAGAGTCAATCTCTAAAACGATATCACCAAACCCATGTTGAATACACCATTCCAAACCATATTTGGCTGCATGAGCTTCAGCCAAATTGTTACTGCTGCATCTTTTAGGAACTACAAAGGCCACTATCATATTCCCCCTGCAATCTCTGACAATGCCTCCCATACCTGCTAAACCAGAAGAGTGAAGGACGCTCCCATTAGTGTTAAGTTTAACTTTACCTTCAGGGGGTAACTCCCATAGAACAATCAAGGTTTTAGGATTATGTCTGAGCCTTTCGACTAACTCACAGATTTTATGCCAAGGCTGATCCCAATCACAGCTGGGAAATGCCAATTTTAGAGTTGTTCTAAGGATCCAAAAGGTGTTATGGTATACTCTACTATACGCAATCTTCTTTTTGTCTCCATATTTACATGAAGTAATTCCTTTCCATACCTCCCAACATATAGCCAAAGGAGTAATATTTAAGATCATTTTATGTACCATGTTAACTGGTATAGTACCAAACCATCCTTGCAGTACCGCTCTAATAGGCCTTTTATGGTGAAAGATACCTAGAGGGCCACCAAAATCATTCCACAACTTAACAGCCAGATCACTATCAATAAAAACATGTTGAAGAGTTTCACATTTTGGAGCATTACAACAATGGCATCTGAAAACAACATAGTTCCCAAATTTGTACATTAATTCATCAATAGGCAATTTTTTATGTAATACCCTCCATGCTAGAAAGGAGATCTTAAAAGGGATTTTGTTATGCCAAACTTTTTGGAACAAAATATCATGAGAGCTATGGTTACTTTCTTCTGATAAACTATTTTGGTGGAGAATTTTCCATCTTCAGATTTAGCCCAAATAGGATAATCCTCATGCTCATGTTTCCCTATCGGAACAGTGAGAATATGATTCACCATGGTTACTGGAAGGACTTCTGAGAGCTTGATCATATTCCAAGTTCCTTGAGTTATGTAATCTGATATTCTTTTCCTATGGAACCTAGCTGGACAGGGGTATATTTTTGCAAGTGCACCCTTACCTGTCCAATTATCCCACCAGAAATTAGTATCACCGTTGTTGATATTCCAAAGAATATTTTCGTCATCTTGATCTTTAACATCCAAAAGATATTTCGAGGCATGAGATTGCCCACTTCTCTATGTTTTAGCCTTTGGATGTTGTAAATGCAGTACTTGCTAATGATGAAAGAGCTCCAGAGGTTGTGATTGGTTCTTAGATTCCGCCACCTTTTAATAGCAAAAGCGGGTTGGTTATAATTCATTATTTAGTATATCTTGATCCAGCTTATTTCAGCCCAAATAAACTTTGACTGTGCCATTTACCCGCTATCTATTAATTCGACTCATTTTGACCCGCTTAAGTTCTGTCCAGACTATCCATTTACTACCCCTAGTTCGAATATACGAAGGAATTTTAAGAAAACTAAACAATTATGTTAAAGTTGTTTTCTGGTATGTACGTTAGGGATGAGCGATGCAATTAATTTTATAATCTAGTAGTGAAACAGCTCGGAGGAAAATCAATTGACTCAAAAGCAAAAAAGGTAGCTCAAGCACTAGACAACCATATTGAGATTTACTCGCCAACTGAAAACAACATAATCCATTTATTTGAAAAACAAATGACCACACCTCTCCGTTCACAATTACACACTTATTTTAGGTAACAACAAAGGTTCCAAATTACACACAAGTTCCATATGGAAGTTATATGGCAGTACAAGGGAGAGCAGGAGCAGGCCGCGTTGTTAGGAAGAGAAATGGTCATTTGGTAATGGCATTTGCAACTCTAATACAATTCTCAGCTAACAACTTCTCAGAAGCACAGGCTGCTCTTCAGGGAACATTGTGGTGTTGCTAATAAGGTTTTGCGGGGTTGATCCTAGAACTTGATTCAATGCTAGTAGTTAACATGATTCTTGACACAACTAATATTCCCTGAAGACTACAAAGGGATATTGGTAAAACCCAGGAGAAAGTCACACAACATGGAATCAAAGTACAACATTGTTATAGGGAAGGAAATCACGTGGCAGATTCCTTGGCCAAATATGCAACAACTTTGGATGATGAATGCATGTACTTTCATGAAGCTGACCTCCCTAGTGAAGCTAGAGGAGCAATAAGGATGGATAGAATGCAAATGCCCTCTTTCAGAATTAAAACTACTAAACACTCGTGGTGGTACTTTGATCCACCTTAGGATGATGCTCTCACATATGGAGGTATAATTGTGTTATCGTCTTAAGCTATACAAACTCCATGTTGCGCAGTGCCTTGGGAACAAAGTTATTGTTACATCATACAAGTGCCCCAGTGCACACCATCTTTAAGTTTCGACATCAACACGGTATCAAGGTTTCTACTTAACGTTCAAGACAATATTTGCTAAAAAAAAAAAAAGATTCCAAATTAAATGAACAAAAATCACAATTACAATTGAAAATAATTAACCAAATTCTTAACACACGCATGAATCTTGATTTTATCAGCATCATTAGCAATATTTAGTTCACCTTCCTGCAGTTGACACGAATTTGGCCTTGGTTCCCAGTCAATGGCTTGATATTTCCCATCTTAATCATAGACTCAGCGAAATCTTTAGAGAAAGTCCCAAGGTTGGTACTATATGTCTTAACAAGATCATCAGTCTGGCCTCCACTAAACAATGCTTGATCAGAATGTAAAATCCCTTTCTTGGACACCAAGTTACTAAAATATTTCGAGTCGAAAAGAGCAGGTGTTGGATCAAGGGAAGCAAGGTTAGAATCACCTCCACTACGTGGACAATTGGCTTGTCGTTGGCTTGCAAAGGTGGAATCAATGTTAGTCTCACTGTATATGCGGTCTCTAAAGGTGAAACACTGAGCAAACCCTAATGTGTGGCCACCCGAGAGCGCGACGAGGTCTTCCTCATCCAAGCCTTGATTCTTGAAGTTGTTGATAAGTGCAGGTAAGTCCATGAATGGAGATGGGATGTCGTTGTTGGCCATGGTTCTACTTGCTGTAGTGGAGTCTCTTCTTCCCAATTTCACTTCCCATGTTGGTCCATGTAGCTGTTCATGTAAAAATGTTTCAGTTTAATTATATACTGAAGGTTCATAACATTTGCAGTATACACAATTAGGTATAACCAGATTCATTATTTGAAGTTTATGAGTTCCTAAATCGACCTCAAGTTAATATATACTAGTAACTGAGTTTGCCGGTATAATATTTATAAATATTTAGTGAATTTCATAATACGCGTATATAGGGTTTTCAAAAAGTTATCGGGTTCATGTGTTAATATATAGGTGGAGGATATCTACAAATTTTGCGTTGACTCTCAAACGCACTATGAGGCTTGATACTAATTCTTTATTTCGTATTCAGCTAAAAATATCTACTTAATCTATCTCAACTTGGGCTTGTAAGTCGATCAGTTTTTGAATAATAGTTCACTAGTTTACTAATTAATCTGGAGTATGATGGACTTTAATTTAAACATTAACTATGGTTAGGAAAAATATTAACAAGTGAAAACCATATTTGTAGCTTATGTTAGGATAGAAGGGGAGTAATACGCACAGCAACTACAGAATCACGAGCTGCAACTGCCAAGATGTCCGCACAAGATACAACCGGACGTCCACAAGCTTTATCAACCTCGGATTTGATTTTATCAATCACCTCAAATCCTCTAGCAGAATTGTTATTAGCTCTAGCAGTCTTTTCACTATCAATAGTAGCCGTTTGATCAAGAAGAATCGAAGCATCACAACCCTTCATTAACAAAACATGCATTAGTAACGACATCTCAATGAATTCATTCCTAACTTCAATATTTTAGGTCAAATACTCAGATGCTTTCACAAATAAAAAATAGGAAGTGCAAGAAAAATAATGTAAGCTCACATTAACGAAACAATCATGAAAATGCAGACGTAGCAGAGAAGCGCCCATTCGTCTCTCTTTCTGGATTGCAGCCTTAACAACCCGATTAATTGTTGGTAAAGCTTCAGGACAAACATCCTCGTAGAAATCATCTGATAATTCTGAAAATGCCATGACTGCTAAACAAAACATGATCAACACATGAAGGAAGAGGAAGCTACGTGAAACCATTATTGATAGTCTATGAAGTTCTGCACTTTCTTTGTGATGTTTCTGATTTTGTGTGATGATGAGAGTAAAATGTGGCTACATTTATAGGTAAGAAAAATGTCGAACTATTGTAACACGACAATGGTTATAGGTTTAGCAACTCTCACAAGAATGAGCCAGACTTTGACAATTTCTGAGAGGACGGTTTTTAAATATTTTCTGGTCCGCGGTATCAATTAATGCACGAAATGTTCAGACTTGGTAATTGTAAATTATTGCAAATTTGAGTGGGTCGGAGTCTCTCGTTTTATGATAATTAAAATCAAACCTACTACTTAGGAAACGACCAGATTAAAACCATATCAATTTTGACTTAGCAAATAAATTGTACGTCGTAATTAATTAACTCCCACTTTGTATACCGGTAGCTTTTTATTGAATTTTTCTCTTTGCATGGCCGTAGCCAATTTTCTTCGAGGATATATGGCCAAAAGATTTACTTCACGAGAATGGTTTATATAGACTGCTATTATATGAGAGAGTTGTTGATATATAAAATAAATAAAAATATGCTATCTCTAACAATTTAAGCTTTCAAATGAGATGGTTTACACTTTGGCGTGTCATCAGCAGACATAGTTCTGGATTCGAGATTCACCATCTATGATGAAAAAGAGTTTTTACGTTTTTCTCATGAATGAAAAATAGGGCTGCATGTGAGGGGCATGGTGAAGACATAACTAACTAAATAAATGTATGCTCTCTCTCTACATTTTAAGCATCTACATGAGATGGTCTCAAAATTCGATAGGAGTACTTAAGGAGTTTTGCAAATTAATACTCCATCTGTTCACTTTTATTTGTACACAAGGGATTTGACACGCTCCTTAAGAAGTGATAAATGAAATACATATTTTACTATAACACCCACAATAATGATAGCATTTTTAAGAAGTCTTGAGAAATGATTTGAGAAATGAGTAGTTAATGAAAAGGGTAAAACAGGAAAAAAAATTAGTTCTTTCTTGATTTGTTAAAATTGACTAGTAAAAATAAAAATATATTTTTAATATAGCAGACAACGTAAAAGTGAAGGGAGGGAGTAATATAAAAAGCAACTACCAACTCCAAATTTGAAAGGGAAAAAATAAAGTCAACTTGTCTACAAAAAGAATTAGCAAGAACCAAATATTGAAATAATTAAGAACAACAACTCAACGTGAACTATATGGAGAAAAATAGCCTCTGAGAATCTGTACTAAATATCAACGTCAACATGCAAATAAATTTTGTAATGAGGGGTAGCCATTGGTTAATGATGCTAAAGGTCTTAATTGTTTCTTTAAAGAATAGAGCGGGCTATTTGTCACTGTTAATATTGGCTCATTTATTAATTACTTATGGGGCACGTTAATTCAACATTAATCATGTGGCTCTTGCCATACCACACTCACCGAAAATCTTTTAAACAAAATATGCAGAAGAAAATACGTAAGCGTCAGTAGATCAACAACTGCGTTTGAATAATACGTTTTCTATATATTTTGTCAAGGTATTAATTACAGTTTAATCCTCAATAGTATTTAGTATTAGTTCATATATTTATGCACTTGGCATGTTAATTAATTTTTCGGGATGCCACCATCTAGTCCCCGGTCGGATTTGTCTAATAGTCATGTACTGAATCCTTATCAATTTTACTCTTTGGAGTGATTCATCTAGGGTTGGGAGGGTATATACCGTAACTATTCTCTTTTCCACTATTTTTATCAATGAAAATATCTTTTAGCCGTAACTAGTGCTTTTCTTAA